CTTGTTTGGACCGTGAATCCCGTCTAGCGGGTCCCATGTAAGGTTCGTACCTATTTTTACCGGACCTTTTTTTAGATTTTGGTCGTCTTGAACTTGTTCTTTCATCACCCCCTTGCCTGAGTGATAGTGTTTTCTTCTACCTGCAGCTTCATGTTGTACCTATTGTACATATCATTCCATGTTGTAGCAGGGAATTCTCGTAAGCTTTCCTTAAGTCTCCTCGTGGCTTCTGAGCTTTTTTCATTTAAGTTACTTGCAAATGCCATGGCTGCCCAATTATCAGGTACTCGCGGTAGCATCATCCTTTCACGTTGAAATCTATCCACAAATTCCCTGAGTAGCTCAGTATCCCCTTGTTTTATTTTAAAGATGTCTTCCATCTGCTTCTCAACTTTTTGAGCTCCCGAATATTCTTTGATAAATGAATCTACAAGCTCAGTAAAAGAATCAATAGAGTTTTCAAGTAAGAGAGAATACCATGTTAGTGCTCCTTTCGTGAATGTTTCGCCAAATATTTTGACCAACACTGATTTAATTTCTTGCTTGGTTAAATCGTTGCCTTTCACGCCAGTTGTAAACGCGGTTACGTGATCTCGTGGGTCGGTTATTCCATCATATTTTGGAATATCAGGCATTTTAAACTTCTTAGGAATCGGCAAAAGTGTTGCACTTGGCTTCCAGGGCTGTTGTGAATATTTATCAATATCCACTCCTTTAATCACGGGTGGAACGCCAGGTATTTGTTCTATGCGATCATTTTGCTCTTTCAGCTATTTTTGCGAAGTTAGTACCAAACTTTGTAAATCAGAATTATTTGGTGTACCTGACCTTCCATCACGAGATTCATTGGGAGTTCCTCCGCTTCCTGAATTAGCAAGTCCCGAGCGTGGGTTTTCTATAGTCGCGCTATTGTTTGGAGGAGGAGTTGGTGGCATAGTTGGCAATCCACTAACAAAAGCTTGAAGGGCGATGTTGACGTGCTCTACGATTAATTGTTTTAATACGTCCTGTTCGGCAATCTGCTCGTCCCCTTGTTGATCATTCGTATGTGATGTTGATCTTTGAGGCATTCCCTCTCAGGACTGTCGAGGAGATTCTAGAGGCGTTCCCTCCCTCCTATTGGTTCAGTTGGTTGTTGTCGTTGGCAGTTGACATGATTGTTTGTCAGAAAAGTGAATTTGGAAAGTGAAAAGATTATCAGAGTCCCGGCAACGGAACCAATTTGTTTAACCAAAAATAAGTCTTTTGGCCAAAATCTAATTTTAGAAGAAAACGAGTTACTGATAATCAAGTTTTACTTCACTTTCACAATGATATCAAAGGAAATTAATAAGAATAACTTAGGAAATAATTGATGGACAAATTGCAAAGTCAAGGTAGAGAATTTCGAGAAAGTAAAAAAGTAAAGAGTATATTTCAATATTACTCTGATATGTCTCTACAAATAGAATTTTGTGTCCTTATATAGGAATATACAATAGTAACAGTTTTACTCACATGATTTGGGTTGATTATGGGCATTAATGATATTGATTGCCCGTTATCTCGGATATATATAACTGGCATATTTATTGCTATAAATGCCTCATATCTGTTCAGATTCCCCTTCATTATTTACTTCCAGTTCATGTACCTTCTTTTTATTCTTTATTCATTTCGTCCTCATTTATTCTTTGCCAACTGTTAGGCCCGGTTCTTTTTTTTTTGTACCGTCTCGTGGATATTTCCTCCCATGTCTTCTCTTCTTTATCAATTAAGAAAATCATTTGTCGCCATATCATTGTTTCACGTACCATGCCATGTCAGCATTCCAATATTCCACGTGTAATGTTCTTTCACCGCCAATACATTATTCACGTTAAGATTCCCATGATTTTCTCCTGGACTCTTCACATATAAAATTGGTCGGTGTCCACTGTCAAATTCTTGGGGTATCTCCACGCTGCCAAAGAAAACATATTATCAACTTTTTAGATTTTCTTGCATATACATACACTAGGATTGATGTTCACAATTTTTACACTTCAATTTCTGTATTCACGTCAAGCTGAACCTGTGGCAAAAGTAAGTTTACTAGATGCTCTTAATCTTATGCTTTTTTATGCGGGTTTTTTTCGACGTATGTTTTCTTTCCATTTGTTAAAAAGAAAATTCTAAGTTTTTAAACATATTAAATATAACCTTTTATGTTTTAAGGCTCAAGGGGTGCTTCAATTCTTTCTTTGTGAATTGTATATGGTTATAAGGACGTGTATTCAATTAAGTACTATTGCCAAAACTGATATTTATGTCAAACATAGTGTTTAGGACATTCACATAATATATTTTATTTATTCTTCATCATAAAAGACTGAGCACCGACAAGACTAGAGGTCATAAATGAACTACTTAAGCATTAACTCAATTAAACAAAAGCATGTAATGTGAGTATGTAATGTGTTAAATTTTTAATCATGCTCTCAAATAAATTTTAAACGCTATAAAGGCATGATCAAGTGGAGATCAGGATATCTAATATCATTCTCAATTTATACAAGTTTGAATATATTTCAATTGTTCAAGGTAAATTTAATATCCAATAACCAATGAGTTGTATGACGAAATAGTCTTTCGCAATATAAATAGCTCTAGAATATGGATGTTGGATGAAAGATATCGTCATATAACTTATAACTTTGCTATTTTCTTCTTCTTTCTCTTGCAGTCAAGATTCTTATTATATTTGAGAAAGATGAAATCACACATATATTGATCTATCGTTAATTCTGTAAGTCCCTATTCTATCGCTTTTACTTTGTTGCATTCCTCAGGTAACATTAATGTAGATAATATACTTCTTACAAATTGGGGCAATACATTTTTATTATATTTGGATCGTTTTAGAAAAATAAAGGGACAAAGCAACACTAAAATCTCTCATTTTAATAAATATATTAAATCCTTCTACGCCTTTTTCTTATCTAATTAATTATCAAATTTTAATTCATTTTTCACCTCTTATAAGTATTTGTTTGTTGAATTTATGTTTATATTATCTAAGTCCAATGTAGTTAAATGGGGGAGAGGAAGGAGAGTTCCTTGTCGTGATAAACTTTATGTGAAGAAAGTATTATCGTTATATGAGGAAGATATCAAGCTCTAAATATTTATTAAAATATTAAAAATAAATCATTTTGAATAGTACATGTGATATATGGATCTTTTTCTTAACTCTATTTATTTGATTACCTAATTTTCATAACTAGACTAAAAAGACTCACTATGCAATTCAATCTTTCATATCCACTTATGCGATTTGGACTCTGACACTTAGATGTATAATTAAATATCACTTATAGGTGTATATGATGAAATTAAATTTTTTGTGCATCACATGTACATTAAAATAGAAAAGGAGAGACTTGAATATTTTAGAAAAGAACAATCAATCCTGAAAAGACAATTATGCCAAAGCACAATTGATAATTCTATGTGGTTAAAGAATATAGAGAAGATAAAAGTTGATCAAAGAATGTTGCTTGTGATATTGTCTATTCGAGCAATCAAATTTCAAAAGGGAGATGTACCAAAATTTAATTGATAGCGTGATGACTAGAAAATGAAGTTAGAGTTTGTCAAAGAGTATGCCTTTTGACTTATTCATAAAAGATCTAAAGGTTACGCGAGAATGCTAGCTTGTCTATTCAAATTTGTAACATATAACTAAGTAAATATTTTTCGAACATGCACTTACAATTTTTAGTATATATATTTTGTAATAAATGATCTGGAATACACGTGCAACGCACGTGCAGCGGGACTAGTTTCTTATTAACAGTGTAACAAGTGGCTATTTGCACATTTCACCCTCCTGTTTGGGTAGAAATGGCGTGGGATAGCCACTTTTTAATGTGGTATTTACTTTTTATCCAACATTTTTAATATTGAGCAAAAATAGCCACTAGTCTATTAAAATTAATACGAAAATATGATTTTACCCTTTCTTCATGAGTGATGTGTAAATATTAACGACATGATGTCCTTAAATTCATGAGTGCTGTGTAAATATCAAGGACAAAATTCTTAACTGTTTTGTGTAAATATCAAGGACAAAAATGTCCTTGATATTTACACAGCACTCATGAAGTTAAGAACATGATGTCTTAAAGTTTAACAACAGAAGGTTAAAATATAGAACACTTTGTCCTTAATATTTACACAACACTCATGAAGTTAAGGACATTATGTCCTTAATATTTACACAACACTCGTGAAGTTAAGAACACTATGTCCTTAACATTTACACTGCACACATGAAGTTAAGGACACCATGTCCTTAATATTTACACTGCACATATGAAGTTAAGGACATGATGTCCTAAAGTTTAACAACAGAAGGTGCAAATACAGAATACTTTATCCTTAATATTTACACAACACTCATGAAGTTAAGGACACCGTGTCCTTAATATTTACTCAGCACCCGTGAAGTTAAGGACACCATGTCCTTAACATTTACACTGCACATATGAAGTTAAGGACATGATGTCCTAAAGTTTAACAACAGAAGGTGCAAATACAGAATACTTTATCCTTAATATTTACACAACACTCATGAAGTTAAGGACACCGTGTCCTTAATATTTACTCAGCACCCGTGAAGTTAAGGACACCATGTCCTTAACATTTACACTGCACATATGAAGTTAAGGACATGATGTCCTAAAGTTTAAAATAGAAGGTGCTAATTCAGGACACTTTGTCCTTAATATTTACACATCACTCGTGAAGTTAAGGACATCATGTGTAGCACAAGGGTATTTTCGTCCGGGCGGTAAAATTTTATTAAAATACTGGCTAAAGAGTAAATAAATTTTAAAGAGTGACTTAAGAGTAAATACAACTTTAATTAATGGCTAATTGTGCACTTCCCCATGTTTGGGCTACTAGGCCTAAGGATTTGGACTTTTAACTCTCTAAATACCTTGGGCCTGGACCGTATGGGTAGAAGCCAGCAAAATGACCCGTTCCCTAGTCTACTTCCTGAATTTCCCCCTTCTCCTCTCCGATTCCACTAACCTATTGAATTACACAGAAGAAACCCGTTGAAAATGTTGAGGCTTAAGAGATTTAGCTCAGCTGTATTTCTCAATTCAAAAAACGTTTTTTCTAGAGAAGAGAAATTAGTTTCTCCAATCCATTTAAGCAATCCATGCCGATTGACCTCCAGTCGCTTCCTCGATATTTACCAGGTTAGTTCAATAAAAATAGAAATGTATTTTCTTTCTTAGTCGTCCATTTCATATTTTTTTATTTTTCAACTACTCTGCTAATATATAAAATAGTAAATTAGTTATTGTTTACAGTATAATGTTTTTCCTGAACTAAGTTGGTATTGAAGATTCATTTGATTACAGCTAGGAAACAAGGATGCAATTGAGAAAGAGCGTGCTCGGCTGTAAGTTTCTCGATTTCAATGTATTGTACTTCCTCTGTGATAACTTTGAAGATAAGCCAAATCGCCATGAAAATCTAACTAGGGCTCATGAGAACAAATGAGAGAGAAAGAGAGCTTCAGATGTTTCTGTATATCCGAATGGCCAAACTGTCCAAATGTGTACAAACTATACTATATATACATTGGGCCAAAATGTCCTGAACCCGGAAAATATAAACCAAAACTTAACAAAACAAAAGCCTATACAATTAACTTATACACAACTGGGCCTATTTCTGCTGAGGCCCAGATGCCAAATAGCCTTCAAGTCCAACACCCCCCTTCAAGTTGGAGGGGGAAACCACCTGCAACTTGGAGAGAAACTGATGATGAAGCTGCCCAGTTAATGGCTTGGTGAGGACATCAGCCAATTGTTTAAGAGTAGAGACATGAGACAAACAAATCAGTCTGTCACCCAACTTAGCCTGAATAAAGTGACAATCCACCTCTATGTGCTTGGTACGCTCATGAAAAACCGGATTCTTGGCAATGTGAATAGCGGCCTGATTATCACAAAACACAGAGATAGGAAGGGAAACATGAACGTGCAAATCAGAGAAAATCCGGACTAGCCAAGTCAATTCCGCCACAACTTTACTGATAGCTCGGTATTCAGCCTCAGTTGAAGAAAGGGACACAATGGGCTGCTTTTTAGACTTCCAGCTAATTAAACTATCACCCAAAAAATACAAAACCCAGCGACAGGGCGTCTGGTATCAACACAAGCAGCCCAATCACTATCACTGTAGGCAGTCACTTTGAGATCAGGAGAATTGGAGTAGAATAAGCCAACATTAAAAGTACCCTTAAGATACCTCAAAATGTGTAAAGCAGCAGACATATGAGGAGACCGAGGACACTTTAAAAACTGGCTAAGATGCTGGACTGCAAAGCAAATATCAGGTCGAGTGTGTATGAGAAACAACAACTTACCAATCAAAGACCTATAAGTCTCAGGGTTGTCCAAAATATCACCAGAATCATCCGACAATTTATCATGAAGTTCGAGAGGGCGCACCACAAAAGAAACATCTGAACAATAGTATGCTGATAACAAATCAGAAACAAACTTTTTTTGATTCAAAAGAACACCAGAGGTAAAATAAGAAACCTCAATGTCCAAAAAGTAGTGCAAAGTACCCAGATCTTTGATTCTGAACTAAGTATCTAAAAATTGTTTCAAATCAAGAATATCAGTTGCATTATCCCCTGTTAGTATTATATCATCAACATAAACGGCTAATATAGTCAAAGAACCAGGGGAACCCTTAAAAAAAAGAGAATAATCATTTACAGAGGGAGAGAAACCCTCAGAACATAAGGCTTGAGATAACTTAGCATACCACTGTCTTGATGCCTGCCGAAGACCATAAAGAGACTTCTGTAATTTGCACACTAGAGGAGCAGAAGAAGAACAACCAGAAACCGAAAGACCATGAGGTAATTTCATGTAGACTTCCTCATCTAAATCACCATGGAGGAAAGCATTATTAACATCTAATTGAAACAAGGGCCATTGTCTTTTAACAACAACTGCTATTAAACATTTTATGGTGGACAACTTCACAACAGGGGAAAAAGTCTCATTAAAATCAACACCTTCCACTTGTGTATCACCCCTAATTACAAGTCTGACCTTATACCTCTCTACACTACCATCAGCCTTGTATTTCACCTTATAAACCCACTTTACATCCAATAGGTTTCTTGCCTTTAGGTAACTCTACAATATCCCAAGTGTGATTAGCTTCTAAAGCCTCAAACTCTTTTCTCATGGCATCCTGCCAAGCTGGAATAGAGGCTGCCTGAGAATAGGTACTAGGTTCAAATTCAGCATGCGTAAGAATAGAAGTGGAACAAGAAAGAGATGAAGATAAAGTACATTGATAGTCTTTCAAATATGCAGGAGGATTATGATCCCTAGTAGACCTCCTCAGAGATAAAGGGGAAGCAGACCGAGTATGAGAACTAGCAGGAGAAAGCAAAGAAGATGGAGTAGAAGATGGCATAGGAGAACTGACAGCAGGACTCAAGGAAGAAGAAGCATGGGACTGAATAGGAGAACTGGCAGGAGAAAGTGGAGAGGGACCATGAAGAAAAACAGGATCAGTAGCAGCAGGTGGAGGGGAAGAGGCAAAGGAAGGATCAGAAAACAACACAGAAGATGGAGATGGAGAAGGAGAGGAAACAGGAACATTAGGTGACTTGGAAAAAGGGAAATAATTTTCATGGAATACTACATCCCTTGAAACAACACTTCTTAGTGGACAGGTTGTATAACTTGTATCCTTTCTTGGCAAAAGGATATCCAAGAAAAGCACAAGGAATAGCCCTTGGTTTAAATTTATCTCTGTAAGGTATAGGGACTGTGGCATAACATAAACAACCAAAAGATCGCAAATGATAGTAAATGGGCACCTTACCATACAATATTTCAAAAGGGGATTTATTATTTAAAAGTTTAGAGGGTAATCGGTTAATGATATAAGTGGCTGTTAACAAGCAATCACCCCAAAAGTGCATAGGTACTTTGGACTGGAACATTAATGCTCTAGAAGCTTCAAGAAGGGATCTATGTTTTCTTTCAACCACCCTATTTTGTTGAGGGGTGTAGGGGCAACTTGTTTGATGTATGATTCCATGTTCTGAAAAAAATAATGATGCAAAGGAACTAGACCCCAACTCTAGAGCATTATCACTTCTAATTGTTTGAATTGTAGTGTGAAAATGAGTTTTGACCATTGCAACAAAAGTTTTTATTAAGGGAAAGGCATTACTTTTGGATCCCATTAGGTGTGTCCAAGTGGCTCGTGTATAATCATCGACAATAGTAAGGAAGTATCTAGCCCTAGAATAAGTTGCAGTATGGTAAGGACCCCAAGTATCAATGTGAATGAGTTGAAAAGGTGAGTTGGTACTTATAGTACTATCTGGAAAAGGCAACCTAGTTTGCCTGGACATAGGACAAACATTACAAATGAAAGATTGTTTGGATGACAAAGAATCAGACAAACCAGAAATGAGTTTCATTCTAACAAATGGAACATGTACAAGCCTTTGATGCCAAACCACATCCATTTTATTCATGTTAGTAGTACAGTAGTACTACAATTAAAAGGAATATCACACACATCAGGCAGAATAGAACCAGATTACAAGTAGAAGAAGGAACACAAGATGAAACAACATTAGTCATGGGAGAAGCAGGATGTACACAAGATGAGACAACATTATTTGTGGAATCTAAATTGGAGAAAAGCTGAGAATGAGAGGAAGGCCTTTTCCACATAAGCTTGTACAGGCCACTATCCAGTTTACCAAGATCCAGAGGCTTCTTCAGAGAAGGGCCTTGTGGTATAAGTAAACAAGATTCATGAGCGAATAGAACAAAACATTTGAATTGTTGTATAATTCTATGCACAGAGATCAGATTGTGTTGAAAAGAGGGAATATAGAGAACATTGTGAAGAATGAAAGAGGGATTTAAAACAAAGGAACCAGTGCAGGTCACTTTTACTTTATAGCCATTAGGAAGTGATACAAGATAAGGCACACGTAAAGGAGTAAGGTTTGATAGAAAATCTTTATTAGATGTCATATGGTCGGTAGCACTAGAGTCAACTATCCAAGTTAAATCTATTGATTGAGAAAGCATGCAAGAACTAGAACTAGAACCATTCAGCAGATCATCAGTTAGTAGAGTACCAACAAAATTGGCAGAAGCCATCAGATTAGACTGAGGATTAGAATCTGACAAGTGGGACTGTTGCAGTATAGTCATCAACTGATTGTACTGCTGCATACTCAGACCAGGAATCACAGAACTTTGCTCAGGAGAACTAGAGACACCAGAATGAGAAGAACCAGCAATGTTATAATGCCCACTATCAGAAGACTCAGGTTCAGCAGTAACATTTGCTGCAGTTCTTCTACTCTTAATTAATTTGAAGTTAGAGGGAAAACCATGAAGTTTATAACATTTGTCAATCAAATGTCCAGGTTTTTTGCAGTATCTGCAGAATAAAGAACCCTTGGTCTGATCAACATGCATCTTCTGGTCAAAGGCTACCCTTTGGTTGTATTGTTGTTTTGGTGGAGGAAGAAAAGGCTTAGCAAAGTGACTAGCATTTGCATTGAAGGAGGCTGACTCTGAATTGAATTGAGGAGTAGAATTCACATGTCTCTGACTCTCATCTTGGAGTAAGATATTGTAAACAATATCAAGTGAAGGTAGTGGTTGCATCATAAGAAAATTACCCCTAATACTAACATAAGTTTCATTGAGCCCCATTAAAAATTGATATACCTTGTCTTCCTCTAACTCCTGTTGTAAACCAGATTTAGCAGCACAATTACACGAACTCACACGATTCTTACGGATGAAAGCCAGCTCATCCCATAACTTCTTTAATTTGTTTAAGTATGATGCTATGTCAAGAGACCCTTGACAAGTAGAGGCTAACTCTTTTTTAATCTCAAAAACTTTGGTTATATTTACAGTTCCATATCGTTTTTCAAGTTGATTCCAAATGCTTTCGGCTGCTTCAGAGTATTGAACACTCTCGGCAATTTTAGGTGATAGGGAGCTGGTTAACCAAGATATTACCATATTATTACATCTATTCCAAAGTCGTAATTCAGGAGCATCATCAGCAGGTTTAGAACATGTTCCATCTATAAAAGCTATCTTATTTTTTGCTGACAATGCCACTATCATATTTCTCTTCCAACCCCCAAAGCCGATTCCAGAAAATGGAACTTGCACCAAACAAGTACCCGGAACATCAAAAGGATGTATGAATAAAGGACCAGAAGGATCTGGAGTATATGTGGAGCTAGCAGTAGTAGAACTAGTTACAGTCATATTTGATTCAATTGAGAACAAAAATTGTACATGCAATGAGGCAATTGAGGGTTAAAATCACTGAAACCAACAGAGAAAAGTTCACACCAACACTGTATGAGAGGATAGGGTAAGATGTACCACACTTCTTCGCAACCGGAAGAAGACGGCCTTCAAGGTTAAAACAAACTTCAACTGACCTCCTAGAGCTCACAAACACAAAAAATCCACTCGAAACCATATTAATGTCAGAGCCCCGAGTTCGATTTCCGACCAAAACCAAATTCTCGTTCGTAACTCCTCAGAACAAATTGAAATCACCGGAAAATATCAAAATAAACCATCGCAGAACAGCAAATCATCGGAAACTACTGTAAAATATAGAGGCGACACAGATCTGACGAAATCGAAGATGAAGAGAACTTGGACAAAACTTTGTGAGGGTAATATCGGATGAAAGCAGAAGACCAGATCTATAAGAATCTGTGCTCTGATACCATGATAACTTTGAAGATAAGCCAAATCGCCATGAAAATCTAACTAGGGTTCATGAGAACAAAATGAGAGAGAAAGAGAGCTTCAGATGTTTCTGTATATCCGAATGGCCAAACTGTCCAAATGTGTACAAACTATACTATATATACATTGGGCCAAAATGTCTTGAACCAGGAAAATATAAACCAAAACTTAACAAAACAAAAGCCTATACAATTAACTTATACACAACTGGACCTATTTCTGCTGAGGCCTAGATGCCAAATAGCCTTCAAGTCCAATACTCCGTCCCAATTTATATCACACTGTTTGATTGGGGCACATAGTTTAAAAAAGAAAGAAAGACTTTTGAAACTTGTGATGTAGAACATGTCATAGATACTTTTGCGGCTATAAATCATCAAAATTAAGGTTAAAATGAGAAGTTCAAAGTTAAATTATTTCTAAATATAAAAATATGACATTCTTTTTGCGACAAACTAAGAAGGAAAGTGTACGGGATAGAGGGGGTACTATTTAACTTATGTTAAATGGACTCTGAAATTTACTTTATGTATATAATGTGATTTAGGGCAGTAAAGATGAGATGAACCGGGGTTACTTTGCTGATATAAATGAGTTGAAGCAACATGGTGGTAAGGTATAATATACGTTACTATCTTAATGTTGCTTTTTCAGGTTTTTTTTTTTTTTTTTGACTTTTTGCTTATGGAAATTGCGGAACATAGATTGCAACTGCAAATAAGATAATCATTCCAGCAGTGGCAGCTGTGAAGTTTCCTGCGCTGGAAGTGAATCACTCAGATGGTTCGAGCCTTAAGCTTCCCATCGCATCCATTGGAAATGGCGTTGCGGTAAACAAAGCGGAAGCACCAAAGGCATCATTGTTGTGTCTTTCATTTCGTGCAAGCTCACAGGTTAGAGTAACTTTAATTGATTGCTGGTTTTGGCTGAAGTTAAAAAGCAGTGTTTATTTTATCCCTTAGCCTGTCATCCGGCTTACTAGTTTTCTTCACTTTTTGAGTTTCTTTGTCTATGAAATGACCTCTATCGGCACAGGAAGAAGTCATTAATGTTAGCAATATTGTGTCTTAACTGAGGCATTATCTTGTACAGCTAGAATGGCCAAAGCACTTTAACATTCCTTAGAGCTCAGAACATTAATCAGTGTTTTGACAATGCCATGATGAATCATTGTCATTGGCTGCCTTACATTTGTAGGTTGTGTGTCTGAGTTAACTGTGAACATGACTTAAAGTTGATTTTGTTAGTCTTATCAACATTACTGGTATTACAGTAATTTTCAGGTTCATACCTCATTGAGTGAAATACATTATGAAATAAGTACCTACGGTTGAAAATTTCACAATTTTACCAAAATGTGTCATTGGTAGGTTGCACCATAAAAAATTGACTACGCTGACTCGTTCATGTCATTATTATAGAACACATGAATAAATTTCACTTAATTGCTGTACAGTTAGAGTTCTGAGAAATAGAAGTTTCTGATGCAGCATTTGTGGGGTAAAAGTAGTTAGAAACTAAGTAACTAACCCTCCCCATGCATTATCTTAAGATAATGCAGGTTGATTAAATTTATGATGTACAAACATCAATTATTGCAGTATATCTTCCCTTTTCTCATAATCTCATTATATGGCTGAAGTTTTGACTACTTCTGGCAGGCGATGGTAGATTCTTGGAGTAAACCATTTCTGGATACATTCAAAGATTCCAATAGAGTTCAGCTGTACGAGGTATTACAGCACTTCGTCTTAGATGAACAAATAGCATATCTTCATGCATGTATCTTACATATTGGAGCCTGTTTTAGGTCTTTATACAATTGTAGATAAGCACAAAAGTGTAGAATTCCACACCGTATCCTGAAGACTCAAATTTCTGGTGGCCGTTGCACCTTCCTCTTATTTAAAATGTCTCTCATACCATAGCCAACATTGCTGATGTAAATGAGATGAAGCAACATTGTTTGGGGTTTGGCGACGATTTTAAAATGCATAAGATTTGAATGTCAAATAAATATTTTCCCTTGTTATGATTTTGGGATGTTCTCAGAGTTCATAGTAATTGAGCTAAAGGACTCTTTATTTCACGCTCGATACTATGATTCTGTCATGTTCTCAGAGTTCATAGTAATTGAGCTAAAGGACTCTTTATTTCACGCTCGATACTATGATTCTGTCATGTTCTCAGAGTTCATAGTAATTGAGCTAAAGGACTCTTTATTTCACGCTCGATACTATGATTCTGTCATGTGATAGTGACATTCTCAAAATTATGGTACTGTCGTGAAGTATAGTGACATTAAATGCAGGAACATGTTTCTGACTGTTATGCCTTCAATGTTTTGGAAATTAGATATAAATTGTGAATATGAATTGATAAAGAATAATTGGAATCTAGAGAGGCAAGTTTCAAGAGTAAGTATTAGACAGATATTCTATTGCTGAAGGAAGAGGTTTCTTGGATGATATAAGGTTTTAATATTTCTGTAACAAACCTTTGGATATTCATACTTCTTGAATGAAAGAAGTGTTGGTTGGGAATAAACTCTATTAGTGCTGGTCTGTTAAAGACTATACGCATGTAATTGTATGCTAGACATTTTTTACTATCATAAGTCAAATGCAACAATTCCTGTATTTCTCATTTTCATAATGTAGTAGAGGTTGAATATATGAATCTTCAATTGTCTGCAGATCTCCTTTATAGATTCATGGTTGTTGACGCTCAGTCCTGTAAAGAAACTACTACTTCGGACTATGAGGAAATCTAACCCTGACGAAAGCAAGGATGTACTGCATAGACAAATTGTTTATTCATTTGGAGACCATTACTACTTTCGGAAAGAACTTAAAATATTGAATCTTCTGACTGGGTATGAAAATGTTAACATTACCTCTCAGTTTTCTTATTGATTAAGCAGAAGAAATGAATTCTAAAGTGTTCTCCATTCTATATCAAATTTACAGGTACACGTTTTTGCTTGACAAATTTGGTAGAATACGATGGCAAGGTTCTGGATTGGCAACAGAAGAAGAGTTGTCATCGCTTCTATCCTGTACTTCTCTACTGCTGGATGAGGAATAAAAGTAACAAAAATTTTGCTATACATGTCCAATTTCAAATATCAAAAGGCATATGGAGGGATCTCCTTGTTAAGTAGATTCAAGCTCCTAAAGTCTACATAAATGCTTCATTTTTTGTACTTCTGTACCCATTCTGGTTTTGGAGGTTCTGTAATTTTCTCTAAAATGAATTTGAATGACTTTTTGGTGTTCCTGGACATTTTGTCTTGAACTGAATTGCACAAAACATATATGTGGTAGGCATTTTCTTCAGGGTCATGTTGAAATCATTCTAAAATTTTCTCTTCCATTTGCTTTAGCTGACCGACAACCTGGTTAGCTTATTTAAGGGTTTGACTATTATATGCTTGCTCCGTTTTATCATTTATCAGACCACTAGTTCAGTGAACACGTGTGTGGTTAGCTGTATTGCTAAAAGATCGTGGTGTTTGGGTCAGTTTGCGGGCATTTTGATTATTCAAGTGAGTATTTGCTACCTCCATTAATATAGAATATAATTTAATTCTCACACCAAGGTTTAGGAAAATAAGAAGAAATTACTTGGTATTTTTGTGTTTGTTGGATTTGAATCCGAATTTTCATGTTTTGCAACTTGATTCATTGATTTTTAGGTCATACCCTTGGCGCAAAGCATTTTTCTGCCAAACCACCCATTGATAATCGTGTGTTCCTTCTATTCGGATCTTTCTATTCACAGCAGCCACGAATTTTCCTTTTTCTTTTTCTTTTTTTTTTGTTCCTTTTCCTTTCCCCTTCTTCCAAATAAATTACGTTTCATATATAATAAGATCACGGCTTTACGTACTGCGAATTTGTTTAGGCCAATGCTTATGTTTTTATTATGGAGCTAAACATTGACCTTAATAATATAAGACACTGGTTTCTGGTCTGGGAAGTTTCTATGTATATCAATTATATATATATAATTGATGGTGTGATTTCGTATATATGGAACAAACTTAAAGGAAAGTGGGTAGAAGTCCACAATGACTTTCCCAGAATTTTCCAGTTGTCATCAAGTTTCATAACTATGTCACTAACTTTTTCAGGAATTTCATTAAATTTGTAAAGATAGTTCTCTTCAACCACATGGAGCTCCCATCTATCTTGTTCTTCTCGATCTCTTACCTTATTAGCTCTATCTGTTGTTGCATAGGAGCAGTAGCTTTATTGAGTTCAACTGATTCAGATATTTCAGATCATCCATTGCAATAATCATAAACTATTGCATCTCTCTCTCTGTTTTCACTTCATCCACCTATGCTTTTCTTTTTCGACCAGCTTTAGAAAATCAGCAACCACATACCCCAATTCAATACGGACTTTTTCCAGTAGGAAAGACCTTAATCTCTATTGTTTGTGCACAAATCTTGATAATTTCATTGCCATCTTTTCTTCCTTTCTTCTGGATCATCCTATCTTTTCTCCTGTTTGGATATCTTTACTATCTTTTTGCTTACAGAAGGCCAATTTCTCCTTCAATTCGGATGTATTTGAACCATAGCTACTGTTGGGGTTTGTTAAGTGTGGTTTTGGCTGAACTTGTACTGCCAAGTTTTCTGTGGAGTGTATTCATATATTTGTCCTACTTACTTGTGCCTGTAAGCTTTTCTCTTACCTATATAGCGTTTAAGGATCGATTTGGCAGGTGGGGTTCGTCGCCTTTTTTTAACTATGTTTACCAGAAGAGGAAAATGATTGAATTTGCAGTAGGAATGGTGTGCAGTATTCTCTTTCAGTACGTTTTCAGGGCGACTTCACTGGTGTCAATGGTTGCTTTCTTTTGTATTGCTGCGGCTTGGCTTGGTAGTCTTGCTATGGTTCAACCTTCAACTGATCTTGGAATTTTCAATTTCTTGCTTGTGAATGCTTGCTTAAATTGGGCTGTAAATATCTTTAAGGTCAATGTATATACTTGGCTTGTTTTTGGTGCTTGTCTTTTCCTATTCTTTCTACGTTGGAAGTTGGACTCAGTGTCGTTGAGATATAGCCATATTTTTGCTCCAATACCTACTACATCACCCTCCATTTCAACTATGCTAACCAACATTTCAGTATCTGCAAACTCCAACTCTCCCTCTTCTACTAGTGCTGACCCTACACCCTCTACTATTGCCTCCTCATTGCAGTTTACTCTTAACGACCTACAACTTCCTCTCGCGCCACTGACGTTACCGGCTCATCCACCAGCTAGATTTCATTCTTTTTGAGCTTTCCAGAGTCAGTAGTGGTGGTCCGTGGTGATGGTTGTGAGGTTTTGGTGGTTGGTGGTCGTAGTTGGTGGAAGAGACCGGTGGTAGTAGTTGTGTAGTGATGGTTGTGCGGTGATAACGAGATGTGGCAGCTATGAAATGGCTGGCTGACAAGGATAGTTGGGCAGTGGACCGAGACGGATCCTTAGAATGTAAAATTAATGGGTTCAACCCTTTTAAATTTTTTAGCATTAAACTCATTGTATGTTTAAAACTATGTGTTCAAAACATAATAAATTTTTGAGGTTTCTTGCTATATACTTATGCTCCATGTCAAAAGTACTGAATTTACATGAACCATTAGTTTTTGAACTCTATCCGCCACCAGGCCGGTGGAGGGAGTTAGTGGAGGCTGGCTGTGGAGGAGGGGATTAGTACAATGCAGAGTCCAGTAATTATCTGGTTTTCATAATAGAGGAGGGCTTGAGTCGAGGGCAGATTTAGGGGGACGGAAGGGGTTCATACTTTCGTCGGAAAATCACACTGTTATATAAGGCAAAATCAGATTTGTGTCTCTATATATTTTATTTTGAATCCTCTTGACACAGCCTAAAAAGCGTAGCCCAGTGGGTTCAGAACCTTTATAAGGTTGATAGTTCAATTCTCATTGGCCATAATTTCTTTAAATTTTTTTAACTTTTTCCTTCTTTGAACTCCCTTAGCGAAAATCCCGATGGCTTGAATATATGGATCTTCAACCGTCTGCAGATCTCTTTTGTATGGTTGTTGACACTCATCCTGTAAAGAAACTACTACTACTACTTATTATGAGGAAATCTAAAAGCGAGGATGTAATGCACACATAGGCGGATTCAAGGTTTTAGGTTTATGAGTCCCTACAAAAATTTCGAGCTAATATACAATACTAAATGGATGAACGGACTGAGTTTCAAGTTAAATATTTTTATACATTTAATGAATTTTTTAAAACCAATACAGGTTTTAGACAAAAACTATTGGGTTCATGGGAACTCGCAGCTATTTTGCTGAATCTGCCCATGACTGCACAGACATATTCTTTTTTATTCATTTGGAGACCATTACTATTTTGGAAGAGTTACCTTTTTTTAGGTCAATTTTAGCATGATGTATTATGCACATATAACTTAAATTCTTAATAAATATGTATAAAAAGTGATATTTAATATTTGTATAGTATAATTTTTCAAAGAAAATTGATCAACTAGCCACCCTTTGGATATTACGTCGGCATTTGGACTTTCCCCACGAAAGGATGAAATTACGTAGGCTTTTGGACTTTGCCAAAACGTTGAACGCTTGACCAAGTCATAAATGTGAAAGACAGCAATTTTAGCCAATATTCAACTTGTTCTGGGTTTGGTTCAATATGGACTCATATCCAACTACCTATGTTGGGAGCTTGGTGGGCTACATTTTGTCAATTTCAAAAGTAATTTTCACTGTCCAAAAATATTTGCTGTAAAGTTAGAATTGGGACAGTTTTCTTCTTGAATTGCAATAGGAAGCTTCCTATACTATTAAATATCTACAGAATCAGTACATATATTCATTCATTCCTTATTCAACGAGACTCTCGTTGTTGAGCTAACATGTAACGTTCTAGGACTTTCACTTCTTTCAGAGGCAGACTTCATTTCAATATTTGTCATGTTTCTCCCACTTGGGAAATGAGATATTACTAAGAAAGTCAATACAAAGAACACCATTTCCTTTGTCTACATCCATCCCTATAAGGTAAAAACAGATAGGACAAAAGAAAAACAAATCTTTCTTTGATATAATTAAGACTAAAAAAAGGTAGAAGAAGAGAATGAAAACCTAAATCTTACATAAGCAAATAAGAAAAATTAGATGTTAAAAAGACAAAAAAGTATGAATAAGTAATAATACTTAGAATAAATCTTGCAAGTCGCAAGGTATAGGAATTATGTTTGTAAAGGGGAAAATTCTATTCAAACTAACATCAATTTTTTTAGTGAAGCATGCAAATTGGAAAGATAAAAAATACACCAGAAATCTCTTAATTATAACTACAGAAAAATACTACGTCTATATTTTTTTGAAATCTGGAATGTATCTTCAAATACCACTTGATACTATCATTGCCTGGAATTAGACCTATCACGGAAGGCAGCGTTAGTCCCACGGCATGGGCATTAATAAGCCAACAATTTTTTTAATATTTCTAAGAAACTAAAAATTTAAAAATAGATAAAGGAAATAAATATATAAAAATTATATAAATGCATCTAAAGTTATATAAAATTCAACACAGCAAATGCAAAATAGTTTATTTCATTTTATATAATAATAATATAATTTAATGTGCCTAAATATAGAAAAGCAACACATATAAGTTTTAGTCGGGAAAAAGAAAATGTGATATAAAGCATACATTGTGAACTATTGAGGCATCAAAAAGCGTGGACTAGTGGTAAATAAAATTGGTGTAAATTTTTTAAGCCGAGTTCAAATTTCAAATTTCCAAGATCAATCTCAACATTTCGTCATTTAACGTAATACTACGAAATTCCAATCACTATTCACTATCTGTTAGGTAGTAGAGTTCTTTCTCAATTATTTTATGTCGCTAGCTCTGTGATTTCTTGTGTTGTCTTCAACTATTCTATAAAAAGTACAAGACAAGAAAGGTCCTATTTAGTGAATTATGATATCACTGTATTTGGATATGTTGATCTAACCAAATTATGTCATCCCATACGTAACTTATTTTTCTCCTATTAAACTTGATTGGAAAGAAGGAAACAAAAACTAAGGGGCACGAAAGGAAGAATTCTAGAAATCTCCTTGTTTAACTTTGGAGAAGTAAATCAAACAGAAAGGAGGAAAACATATCATTTTAGGTTGCAGGTATTGAACCGGTAAAAATATGCAGTTACGTATTGAAAAAATGTAGATGTAAAATCGTCATACATTACAATTCTACCTTCTTCTATCTACTTTCTCTTTTTATTTCCTTTTATTTCGAGGAGAAATTTGACAAATAGCTCCTTTCAGTTTCTGCATCTGGCACAAATATGACTAGGAAAGAAAGAAATATACAGTAAATTTCTAATCACAGGGGATTTCTATAGCACTGTCATGTCA